AATATAACTTCCATGTAAGCACCTTAGTGTTGATCAGTTAATACTAATTTGCTGGTGAGTACATGTGGTGCTTGTGTTTCCATTTTTGTGATGCTTCACTAAGTAGAATGGGCTCTCTGCTCTATCCAAGATAATACAAGAGGTGCTAGATCACGACTATAGGTACTTCTTATAGACACATAAATAATATATATGGGGAGGGGGGAGAGATTTTAAAAGGTAACAATTGAAATATTTTCTTAACTCTTTACATTGTTTAATTGTACTTGTCAGAACTGCTACAGTCTGAAAATTATTTATTGTATTACGATATTGACCTAACAATGAAGGCAAATTTTATCAGCTTTACAGTGTAATAAATCAGCATAAAATATAACTTTAAATTTAATAAGTGTATTAAAGAGTATGTTGTGGAGATAAAGATACTAATAAGGAGAATCATGACATTAAATGTGTTATTAACTGGGATAGATAATTTTCCTTATTTAATTCCTAAAAGTCACAAAGCACTTAGCTCAATTAATGAACCTATTTCCTGAACTCCAGGGAATTTTGAAAACCTCTCAATTCAATTACTAAAATGCTCAGTGAGATTCAGACCGAATTCTTGTTCTTTATTCCAAGAGCAAATAATATATTGGAGCAAGCAAGATAGAAAGGGGTTAATTAGTAGCCGATTGAAAGTTCCTGTATGTATATCCAAACAATGTACTTGCTGCTTTTTAAAATAAATAGTATAAAATAGTCTAAAGCAAATTTGTACAAATCACAGAAAATGAGACTTAAAAAGACTGATAAATAACCAACTAGCAAATGAATAAATTACTTCAATATATCAGGCAAACTTTTTTTTTAATAAAGAAGGCTATGCCTTAATCAGTGACTATTAACAATGAAATTTGTCTCTATATTTTACACAAATGCTTGAATTTCATATATTGTGATTCCTACCAGGAAAACAACATTTTCTTTTAATAGAGAAAGACCTGTGATTAAGGTTTACCATATATCATTTAAAAAATTATTTGGCTATTGGAATTTGACTATAAATCAAAAGATAAAAGATGAGTTTCCTATGTTTTTATGTTAACTATTAATACTTCAAGGAACTTAGAATCTTTCAATAGTAGCCAGATACTTTTAACAAATAATGTGTGTTAATTCAGCAGAAAATAATTCTTTTGAGTTATTCCCAGTAGTAATAGATATGACATATTTTTTCTCCATTGTAAGATAAGAAAAATAGCAATAATGTAAAATTGTCATTACTAATACAACTCTTAAATGACAAAGATTTTCATATAAAGAGGAAACAGGTTGCTTTGCCTCAGCTTAAACGCCCATCTTCAATAGACTATTTTCCCTGGTAAAGTAGACTCAGTTGATAGAGTATAGATTTCTAGAAGGTGGAAGAATTTAGAGACACCCCACAAACACTTTCTGGTGTGTTTTCCCTTTTGCTGTTGTCTTTATTATTTTTCCTACATAAAATCATTCTTTGGGTAGAGAAATAACCATGGAGTCTTGGATATATCCAAGTCTTGGTTATGTCCTCCTCTTGATTTATTTCAATCTCTTTAGGTTATTTTTCTTTCCCCTCAAGGGATTTGTGGAAATTCCTTGAATTAGATTAATTGCTCTCTTTTTTTTCCTGCTTGTGATTCCTTGAAGATTAGCGTGACCCTTAGTCCAATTTGTTTTCCACACAGACTTTTTGTACTGTTGAAAGAAATGTGTCTTATAAACATGTCCAGAGTTGTTGTTAATAAAAACCTTCCCATAAATACTTAACTATTTATTTTCGATGAGCCTGGTTTCTTATCTAAAATGCTCTATTCTTTTTAGCTGACAGTTTTAAATAATTAAATTTGATAATCAATACATCTTATAACCAGTAACTAAATTCAGTGGTAGTTTTAAACTTATTTTATTAAACCACATATTACCATAATTAAGGTAAAAAAATTCCAAATTCAGTAATTTCATATTTAGATCTAATATTTTCTTTTTTACTTGAGATAGACAAAATAATGGTCAAAAGTTTGGGTTCAGGAGTCAAACAGACACAACTTGAAATTCTACCCCAGCCATTTATTACCTGTGTAACTGTGGGTAATTTATTTAATCTTTTTTAGGCCTCAGTTTCTTCATCTGAAAATTTGAGATATTTAATAGTATACACTGCATTAAATTCTTGTGACGATTGAAGGAATTGTTACAGAGTGTTGTTATAGAGTGAATGCTCAAACAATGTTAATGGAAATCATTAGCATTGGATTTAATTAATATTTTAACTGTTTTTTTCCTCTTGAATTTCCTGATTAGTGCTCCTGGTTTACATGAACTACTCTTGCATTCCTAGCTTACTGCATTTTCAAACATTATCTTATCTGATATTGCAAACATTATGAACTTTTTGGGGTTTCCAAACAAGGAAATCAAGTTATGTGATTTTTTCCCCCAAAGATCAAACAGCCAGTAAAAGGCAAAGCAAGGACCAAAACTCAATAATCTTTTCACTATGCTGGTTATTATGTCATTTTCATTGATGGCTTTGGGCTGACATCATTATTCTCAAGAAAGTCTTCTCATTTGCTATAAATTTCTATAATAGCCAACATTTATTTAGCAATTAGCATGTATTTCATATTATATAGCAAATATATATGCACTATGTACTTCTACTATATGCTTTACAACTCATGAAATTGGCAATCTTATTACCCTCTTTTTACAATAAGAAAACTGAAACCTGATAAGTGGTGAAGTAAGATTTGAAAGGAGGCAGTTTGCCTCTAGGGCCTGTGCTCTTAAATACTTTGCTATACCGCTTATTAGCAAATTATACTGCACACTGTTACTACCTTTCAAACTTCCATTACTCCTCAAGCAGTGAATTTCAATGTGTCTTATGTTTCTTTAAAAAAAAAAATCAAAAACCAAAATTTTGCCCATCAAAATTTGATGTTTTGAATAGAAGTCATTTCCTAAGAGATTTGTCCTTTCACAGGCTACATAATTAGCAGAGCGCAGTGCAAAAGGAAAATATGTAACTTTTTGTTAAAGAATTATCAATAATTTTTTTAATGATTAAGAATGTGACAGTAGAGCATTAAATCAAGTGTGTGACCTTTTTCAGCGTGAGTCTCTGTGAGCCTACTTAGATATCAAGTCCATGATGTGGACCATGGTCACAGGGCCCATAACCCAGAATCTGGCATTGCCCCTGTGCAGCTATCCTCCTGTAGACTTGCATAAATCTTCATGGCATGGGTAGGACAGAAGTGCTGGAGACCTGTAATTAAGTCTGTTCCAGAATGAGAGCGTTCTGAGGCAATGATACCCTTGGTGAAGCAGAACTTGAAGGGAAGCAAGGCTGCCAGTCCTCAGTCTAAATTGCTTGTACTACAAAAATTGAGAAGTATAAACCACTGTTTATCTTAGCAGTCCAGAGTGAGCTGGTAGTCAGGAAGTGGAGAGGAGAAGGAAGAAGAAGCTCTGGGGAACTCCCACCGTTTCACAAAGAGGTAATCCCTCTTGTCTTCCAACAGAACGGTGGCAGAAACTCGTGAAATACTCCCATGCTCCTTTGTTGCTTGAGGTGGGGGAACCACGTTAATTTACGTCTAAAAGCAATAAGCCTGGCACCGGTTACTCAAATGCTTTTTCTCCTTTTAAAACTATAGACAAAAATAATGTTTTAGTCTTTCTTTCTTCTAAAATAGAAAAGAACTGCATTTCTGAAAAATACCTGTTACTAATTCTTGGGCCTTTTTGTGTACATCTTGGGTATTGTCATTCAAGCAGTCAAAAATCAGAGTCAGTGTTTTTAGAATCAATATACATAGGCTTAAACTCTATCCTTTCTCCTTACTGATTCTGTGACTTTGAGAAAGTTAATTAAACTCTCTGAGCCTCAGATTTTTAATCTCCAAAAGGAGAAAAATTTTAAAATAATAACAACCTCAGAGGATTATTATAGGCATTCAATGGATAAAGGTACTTAACTTAATGCCATACCTACCTGGCATATCATAAGAACTTGACAAATGACAGAGACATTGTTTCATATAAATTCAAATATATTTTAAACATACATATATATATAAGTACATTTATATTTTATACATGTATGTATTTTTAAGTATATAATAGACATTTATAATTTTGTGTGTATGTAAGTGTATGTGTATAGGTACATATTTTGAAGTTTCTGAGTTGTAGGATCTTAGATATTGAAAAAGGGGATATGCATGGCTAGAAGGATGACTGTAACAGAGCTTTTAGGGCTTCTGCCTGTCATTGCTAACTCAACAGTCAACTTACATAACATTCAAATTGAATTACTACTGCCTGCACAATTAAGGACTTTCTTAGCATAATCCCTATGCTTCACATCAAACACACTGAGTGTTTACTTGAATATAAATTGAATATAATCCTCGGAAAAAGCCAGGTGTGCTTCCTGTCTGGAATGGTATAATATGCTTCCAGGTGCTATTCAGAGCATTGATTGGGATTTACAAATTGTCATCTATCTTACTTAGCACTTTTCTCTCTAATCCTTAGCCACCTGATATATTTTTTATGTGCCTCTTGATTTTCATCACATGAAATAAAATGGAAAAAACCTGAAACTCTAGTATCATTTTGCTAGTACACTGACAGAACATATATCCAGATTTCCCTCCAAAATATCAGTTTTATAGTTCCCTCAAAATTGTCGAAAACAGTAATTTGCTTATTAAATACCCGATAGAAAATGTACCAAAAATTGTGAATTTGAAAAAATGAAGAAAAAGCAGAGGCAACGGGATACCCAACAAAAACAGTGTTCGCTGTTTTCTATTGTCTAAGTATTTAAATAAATATAAAAATAAGGAATGCTTCTCTGTTGTTTTAGCAGTGGATAAAATAATTTCAACAGTAGTCTTTTCAAACTCTATTTGTTAAATGTGTTTTCTGTGAAATGAGTCATTTGTTTTGTGTCTCCCCCACAGAAATTCCCCTGCATGAAATCTGTGACTTGATGGTTTGACTGAATAAATTATTCCTGGACTTTTGAATTATTAATCTTGGCTGCATGATATGCAAATCAGACTGCACTAACCACGTCCTGTGCAACAGCACTAGGTCAGAAGCTGTATCCCATTGCTGGCAGTGTTTCTGTCAAGATATCGGGTCTTCCAACACAATGGTAAGCTGCACTACAACTTGTGTCTCTTAGGTATATAAAGTAAAGCCAGACTTCTGTTGGGAGGGAGCTTCTTTTAAAAGTGCCCTGTAAGCAATTAAGGTTTTAAGTAATGTTTAAATAAATTATTTATAAGTAGATGTAGCAAACGAAACTAAAAGGAAGTCATTATTTTTACTTGTGCATTTTTTTTACCAAATTAAATGTCTTATTTTAATTGCCAACTACTATATTCATTTTAATTAAAGAGGTTTCTCATATTTTCTAAAGTCTCAGTAACCTATATTTTAACAAAAATAGTAATTGGATTTACTTAAATCTATATAAATACTTATGGAAAATAAAGTTCCTAAATCATTTGAAACAATATCATACATAATATTAATATTTTCATATTTAGAAAATAATGCAGTAGAGGGAATTTTAAGCTGTCTAAAATTTAAATTTAGCATTTATGTGTATAAAAATGGCATTATTCAAGAATATAATTTACTTAGGGAAAAATAGAAAATTACAGAAACCATTGCTATTCTAACTTCTAGAACTTTCCATAATTTGTGATGTATTCTTAAATTAACAAACACACAATTTTATATCATATTATTAGTTTTTAATACCTTAGTTTCTGGTGTAATTTATGGAATATATAAAAATGAAGTCATCAATATTTTATCTTTTCTGTATGAATATACATTTTATTGAAATTGTTTAGTAATGAAAAAAGCAATTTGTTAAAAAATCCTAATAGTGCTATGTAAATTTGCCTTAAAGTTGCAGTTAAAAATAAAAATAACAACTTCACCTTTGTTTAATTGTGATGATTATAAGAAAAAACAATTTAAAAGCTAAGAAACTATCAAATACATATTTTTAAACTTTGAAGTTACATAAATGTACAATTTTAAAAGGCTGAATATATTTAAACTTAAAGAAACATTATTTTCAAATTAAAAATGACTACTAATAATCTGCTTATTTAAGTAAATTAGATATTGCTTCTAATGTATTAATTCTAAGAAGTTTATATATATTTTTGGACTAGGAATTAATTATTTCACTTTAATTGCCAATTTTTTAAAAATAAAACCCATCTGCTAAAAATAATTCATCTAAATCAGTTATATTTTATGTATCACTACTTTCATTTCTTAAAAATTAAGAACATAACCACTAGAAGGCAGAAGAAAGAATATTAATTTTTCATAAGGGAATTTTATCTTCAACTGGGAGTTTTGCTTAAAGGAAGAGCTTACTTTATCCATTTGTAGAATAGTGATGGCAATACTAAAAGAACACTCAACTACAAATATCATCCAACTTGGGAAATAATAAATGCTCAAAATTATAGGTCCTGGTGAACTTAAATTGGCCTACAGATATTGAACAACTTATCTTTATAAAACCACAATTTATTAATATTATAGACTTAAAAATTTTAAGAATGAAACAAATGTATCAATGAAGCAGATTATAAAACATCATAAAAGCATAATCTCATTTCTATAAATATAAATTCAAATAAATATTAAAGTATAGAAGTGTTCTCAAATATTAGGAGTGATTGGTTTACAATTTTTATTTTTTATTATTGCCTATTTGCATTTTCTGAATGTTACATAATTTACATGAATTTTGTACATGCATTTAAAAAAATTAAAATAAAAAGAATGAAGCAATCACTCTGTGAGAAAGAGGACAAAAGGGACTATTTAGTCATTCGTTTTTCTTATTCCAGCCCTAGTATTCTCTGTCCTGACTACTCCCTTGATCCTCAACCCTCTGTACTCATGTTAAACAGAAGAATTCTTCATGATTTTCATGTGGACTCTAAATTGCCTGAGTGGAAGTCCTGGGAAATCTAGCTTCTAGTTGTACAAGTCTTCATAGCTATATTTTCTTTCCACAGCAGTCACACCTTTCTGCTGCGCATAACACTACATAAGCTACTGACATAAGTCAGTACCTACTAGGCAGAAAGATAAATGTTATGACCAGAAAAAAAGGTAATTCAAAAATGAAACAAATTTCTTGTCTCAAAGAAACTTTCTATACCTTAATTTTCATTTGAGTTTGTGTACCAGCTTTTTGAGTACCCCCAAAATAACAAGAGTTCAGAACTGAGCCCCGAGGAGCTTCAACATTTAAAACTTGGGCAAAGAAAAATTAGGCTACAATGATTTTGCAAATTGAGAAAAGGAGAAACAAGGACATTGCTGAGTTGTAGAAGATAGGAAGAGACTACTTCCAGAAAGCATGGACTTGAAAGCTACTGAGAATACAATTAGGAATAAGAGTGAATATTGACCATTGATCTAAAAAATAGTCTGTTGATTTTTTAAAAAGTCTATTGACCTGTCTGCTTTATTACTATAAATTTAAAATTTTTAATATCATCAAATGCATGCTGATTTGAGGGAAAAAGATAGAAAATTCAGGTAAAACAAGAGGAGAAAGGACACAATAAATACTATCTGAAATCCCATCACTGGGGATAAAACTATTAACACTTTCATACATGTCTTTGTAGACTTCTTATGCTTAATAATTTCAGGTGCAATTTCTTACTTAAATGCCTTAATTTTAAAATTGATCCTAGAAGGTAGATATCAAATGTCGCCCTATACAAATGTGTTTCTATACCATAGCAACCACTAGTACAATTACAAGTTTTGAGTGCCTATCATATTATATATGGTGTCAGCTTTTAAAGTGAACTAGAGCAATGGGCTTGGAAAAAATATTTATGAAAATGCTTTGTAAATAGTCAAGTGTTTATATTCATCTCTATTAAACAAGCATTTACAGACCACCTACTATCTGTTAGTCATTGTGCCAGATGTAGAAGATAAACAATAAATAAGACAACATTGTAAGAAATGCTAAGAAGTTCAGTATACAATGAGAGCATAAATGGGAGGACCTAGTTTAGACTGGGTCAGAGAGCCTACCTTGGGAAACCTGCACTTGAACTGAGACCTGAAATAAGTATAGATATAAGACAATATATGTGGTGGGCCAGTGTCACAGGAGAAAAGCAGCAGTGGAAAGAGATTCAGAAAAAGGGGAGCGCACATTAGAAAGACCCTCTGTGCATTCGAAGAACAGGAAGACAGGTGAGCACAGAGGAGAGTATTGCCAAGCCAGGTTCCAGTGGAGGAGGGAGGCCAGATCATGCAGGCCTTGATGCTCCCATTAAGGATTTTAGACTTTATTCCTTGGACAGTGGAAAGACATTTAAATGTTGTGATCAAAGATAATATGGTAAGATTTTGAGTTGTTTTTCAAGACTATATGGCTGTAGTGACAAAGATGGATTGAATGAGGGCCAGAGAGGATGTGAGGAGATAATATGATATAGTCCAAGATAGAGATGAGAATGGCCTGTAGTAGAATAGAAATGAGGGTTATAAAGCAGTAATGATGGATTTGAGAAATATCTCGACATTATGCTCAATAAGACTTGATAGTTTATTTATTATTGTAGTTAAGTTTTAGATGACTTCGAGGATATTGCTTATATTTTTGAGATGAGCACCTGAGTAGATGATGGAATCATTTACTGAGACAGGTGTATGTGCTACAGGATTGGTAAGGAAGTTGGAGAGTTTACTACAGGATTTCTGAAGGCAGAGATGCTTGTGAGAAGGCAATCAATGGCAATAAGTATAAACAACTAGAGCTTTTAAGACAGGTCCAGGCTGGGCTTGAAATCTGGAAGATGAATGAGCTCTTTTAGGCAGGATCTAGAGAAAAGAACCCAGAAGTGAGACTTAAGGAACTCAACATTTAATGCTTGAGCCAAAAAGGTTTAGGTCTCAAAAGAGCCTGCAAAGAATAGCCAGGGAGAAAGAAGGGAAAATAGGATATTGTCGTGTCACGAAAACAAAGGAAAAGTGTTTCCAGAAGTTGTGGTATGAAAAGAAGTTGATACGAAGACTAGTGAAAAATAATCATTGGATTGAGCAATGTGGAGGCCATTTTGGTGGAGTGGTGGGTCTGAAACCAAATTGGAGGAGATTGAAAAGGGAATGGGTTGTTAAGAAATCAAAACACTTAGTGAGACAGCTCTTTTCAGAAATCAAGCTACAAGGAGGGAAGGAACATGTTAAACCAGAGAAAGTTGTCTATGTCTGTTCCTTATTTTTAAGACTGACAAAATGAGAGTGTTTAATTGGCTGATAAAGATGATGTAGTTGATTTGGAGAAGAACGCTGAAGAGAAAGAATAGAGGAGAAAATGGTAGCATAGGAATATTGAAGATTTGGGAACAAATTGGAACTGGATTAAGACCCCAAATGATCTTTATCTCAGGAAACTAAGGAGCAAAACCACTTGCTAAAAATAAAAAGGGCAGATTAAGTGGAAAAGATTTGAAGAGATCAGAAGAAAATATGAAAGGAGAAATGTAATAAATTGCTGGCAATGTGAGAGAGCAGTAGAATCAGGTAACCTCAAAGATGGAGTGAAACCAGTCTGCTTGGCTTCAGCGGCATTCGTGTGTCTGCTGCCTGAGGAAGTTCCCATCCAGCTTCATCTAGCATTGGATTTAGTGGCCAGTTGCCACGGAAAGTCTTGAGAGGCTCAGAGGAATTTAGGCTGCTTTAAAATAAGTGATTAAAAATAACTTATCAAAATATTGAATTTATCATATCTATAATTCCATGAGTTATTTTCATAAATAACACACTCTCAAAATACCAGTGATATTAACTGAAATAAACCACTTGAATTTGAAAAAAGTGCATGAGTTTTCCAGATGCCTTCATTATAGCTAATTCTACTGAATTTTGCATGCTTCCCAGAAAAAGCAGTTCAGGTATATTTATTCATATTTTGCTTTATTTACCAAAATACTATGTGGAAAGATTCATTTGACTGCAACTAATACCCAGAAACCTATTTGACAAAGACATTGTTAGAAAATTTAATTTTCAACTTTGGTTTTCCTTCTCTAGAAATAAATAAGATTCAATATTTAACAAGGACAATCCAATATATTTTTCAGATAATTCATGTTCTTAAAATACTCTATCCAATCATAGTCTGGCTTCACTACAAGAGAGGAAATGGCAAGTTAGCAAGGCACTTGAGGTTTGAATGAATCAAATTGCTTATTTTCATGGCCCACTTTTAGAAGGTATTATAATAAAGGTCTTTTACTAGATGTATGGCCTCAGCAAGTCTGAATATTGGTGTCCCCTCAAAATTTATATATTAGAACCTAATAGTATTATGAGGTGGGGTCTTTTGGGAAGGGATTAGTAACCTTATAATAGTTAAAGGGAGCTGCCTTATCCCTTTTGCCACTGCTGTGAGAACGTGGCAAGAGGCACCACTTTGACACAGAAGGTGACTCCTCACCAGACACCTAATCTGCTGGCACCTTGATCTTGGACTTCCCAACCTAAACAATGTGAGAAATAAATTTCTATTATTTACAAATTACCTCATCTAGGGCATTTAGATATAGCAACAGGGACAAACTAAGACAGCAAAGTATTTAAGTTCCCAAGCCTCAGTGATATCATATGTCAGTGAAAACAATAACAATCCCCATTTCGTTATGCACTATGATTATTAAATGAGATAATCCTTGTAAAGTGGTGAGCACAGTGACTGATATACAATAAAGTTTCAATTAATAATGACCACTCTTACTATTACTAAGCTTTTTAATTTCATATTTTAAATTTTTTTTAAATTATGTTTTAAAACTGAAGTTATACTTTGCAAATTTAATAGGATAAGCAAAAATGTTTGACAATATGGAAATAAGTAAAAGCTGATAAAATAGTAAGATTGGAATTCTAAAAATCTCTATTTGCTCTTCTAGGCTATTGTTCAATTCAATTTAACTCAGCAGAATTTGTTGAACAGCTACGATACACTAAGGACCATGGTAGGTTCTTGAGACCAACAGTGAATTCAAATCTCCTTTTCACTTAGTTTACCACACTTCCCTTGGCCTCTTGGCTGTTTGTCAGGCCCTTTACATGTGTGTCCACCTTAGAGCCTTTGCATATGCTCTTCCTTATGTCTGGAACACTCTTCCTCTAGCTATTGATGACTCTTTGGCTTTCTTTGTTGAGGTTTCTGTTTAAATGTCATCTCATAGAAAAACTCATAGAAAAATGTCATCTCATAGAAAAACATCTCCCTTATCACAGATACAAAAAAAGTAGCTCACTGCCACCCTGCATCCGAAAGCTCTAACATTTTTACTCTTCCTCATCTTTATTCATAGCCATGTATCATTACATGATATCATTTGCTTATTTCCTGATTCTTCCCAAGAAAGTATAGATTGTCAGAGATTAGGAACTTTTATTTTACTCACTGCTGTTATCCCCAGTGCCTGAAACTTATTCAGCACATAGTTGAAAGATACTCAGTGAATAGTTGCTAAAATAATATATTAAAATATATTATTGACACATATGTGTATGTATACACATGTATATGAATATGTGTGTATATATGTATGCATGCATTCGTTACTACGTAACCTACTTTCCATAATTCACTTTTCAAGTGTTTTTTTAAAAAAATTATTATGTTTCGGACAGTTTTGCCCTTGTCGCAGTCTAATGTTTCATCATTATATTTCCTCTCTTTTCTCTAGACATGGAATGCAACTTGCAAAAACTGGCTGGCAGCAGAGGATGCCTTGGAGAAGTACTACCTTTCCATTTTTTATGGAATTGAATTCATTGTGGGAATCCTCGGGAATACCGTTGTTGTTTTTGGCTACCTCTTCTGTCTGAAGAATTGGAACAGCAGTAACATCTATCTCTTTAACCTCTCCATCTCTGACTTAGCTTTTTTATGTACTCTTCCCATACTGATGAGTAGTTATGCCAATAGAAACTGGATCTACGGAGATGTGTTGTGCATAAGCAACCGATATATGCTTCATGCCAACCTCTACACCAGCATTCTTTTCCTCACTTTTATCAGCATAGATCGATACATGCTCTTAAAGTATCCTTTCCGGGAACACCTTCTGCAAAAGAAAGAGTTTGCTATTTTAATCTCTTTGGCCATTTGGGTTTTAGTAACCTTAGAACTACTGCCCATAGTTCCTCTTATAAATCCTGTTATAATTGGCAGTGACACTACCTGTAATGATTTTGCAAGTTCTGGGGACCCCAAATACAGCCTCATTTACAGCATATGTCTAACCTTGTTGGGATTCCTCATTCCTCTTTTTGTGATGTGCTTCTTTTATTACAAGATTGCTCTCTTCCTAAAGCAGAGGAACAGGCAGATTGTTACTGCTGTGCCCCTTGAAAAGCCTCTCAACTTAGTCATCACGGCAGTGGCGATCTTCTCTGTGCTTTTTACACCCTACCACATCATGCGGAACGTGAGGATCGCTTCCCGCCTGGGGGGCTGGATGCAGTCCCAGTGCACTCAGGTCATCATCAGCTCCCTGTACATTGTGACTCGACCTTTGGCCTTTCTGAACAGCGTCATCAACCCTGTCTTCTACTTTCTTATGGGAGATCACTTCAGGGAGATGTTGGTGAATAAACTGCAGTACTACTTCAAATCCCTTCCATCCTTCAGATGAGCTTGTAAACTCACATTTTTATTCAGAGAAAAGGGGGATGCTCATGAAACAGTTGTTTAAGAAATGCCACTCTAAGCCTATTAGAATTTGCTTTAATTCTTAAAAACAAATCAGAGAGTGTCACAGATCTGACCCTGATTTATGACAAGTTGTATTCAGAGTATGTGAAAAGAATGGGATGAGGAGAATGTATTGGTTTCTTCACCTAAGAATTGAAAGAAGTTGAACTGGCATTACTTAACATTTGGTCTATAAGTCCCAGGTTTTATAAGATCTTTTCATTCAGTGCAAAAGAAATAGAAGATAGCAGCAGATCAACTGCATTTAATCAGTGGTTAGACTGTAAAAAAAAATTATTTTGACAGCACAGCATTCTTGATGTTATTCTTACTCATATGGTCCTAAAACTTTATGTGAGAATTGAATAGCAGAAGATGAAACACATGCTGGTAAATATTATTTTTAGAGGTTGTGCTCTTGAGCAAATTTAAAATAAACAGTAATAATGAGTAAGAAAGCAATATAATGAGTTCAAGGATACCTGTGTGATATTTGTTTATATCATGAATTGGATCATGAATTGGAGTCACCTTGTAATTCATCAGCCTTTTTTTGTTGCATGGTTTACAGTGGAAATAATCTTAATTTAAGTTTAAAAGAACCTAAAGAGATAATTCAACAAAGGGAGACAACACATTTGAGTTTGTCTGTCAGAGAATTTATTTGTAAATGATTTTACTAAAATATTAGAGAGATATACCAAGAATATTTGCAAAAATTTTAGAGTTATATAACACAAAGTACCTATCAGAAAACCCAAAACAAAATGAAAGTGAATACATTGTTTTTCTGATGATTTTTCCATCTGGCATTTTATTATCACAATTTGACCATCAGTGCATGGACATATATTAAAGTTCATTAGCCTTGGTGCTCTTGATTAAATAGTAAACTTTAAAATATATTAAAATTATAAAACAGCAAATAAGGGGAAGTTAAATGATAATAGATTCACAGAGTTAGTTTTCACTTTTTTTTTTTTTTTAGATGGAGTCTCAATCTGTTGCCGGGGCTAGAATACCATGGCATCAGCCTAACTTGCAGCAACCTCGAACTCCTGGGCTCAAGCAATCCTTCTGCCTCAGCCTCCCGAGTAGCTGGGACTATAGGCATACTGCCATGCCCACCTAATTTTTTCTATACATTTTTAGTAGAGACGGGGTCTTGATCTTGCTCAGGCTGGTCTCAAACTCCTGAGCTCAAACGATCCACCCGCCCCTGCCTCCCAGAGTGCTAGGATTACAGGTGTGAGCCACCACGCCTGGCCAGTTTTCACATTTGGAGGGAAAGTCACAATTTTCTCCAACCTCTTCCCCATTTTTTTTTGTAAGCACTGGGATAATTTACGAGGACGGCTTTATCCTAGAGAGAGAAACTCACATCTAGAGTAAGCCCAGTTTGCATGGAACATTACATAAGACCATTGGAGGAAATGTTCTAAACAATACACCCTTTATGAAATTATTAAAATATAAGACATTTTCAATCTAGATTATCCCAGGAAGGTCTCTGAGTCCCACCATTCCATGCTACAAAACAAATGTAGGAGAAAAAAAATGGGTATTGCATTAACTTTTTAAAGTCAAACAAGTATCACATAATAATTCACTGATATGCAACAAAATGTGTCCAGGGCCACATGTCTATGTTCTTTTCCTTAATGTCATTAGCTGTAAGGAGTGGGTGATATGAAGGATAAAATAAGCATTATGAATACAGAGACATAAAATTCTATTGTCCTTTCTGTTCTGAGGTACTATGGGGATATTATATAGATATTCCAAACTCCCAAAATATGCTCAGTTACTATCACTAGACTCTAAGCAACTGAAATAGTATAAGAATGTATTGCACACAAGAGATTTCTTTTCTTCCATAGTGCCAGGCTTAAAGATATTTTCTGTTATGCCTCACCTTTATTATAAATATATTTTAAATGTTAATATAAGTTTATAACTGTCTAATAATAAACTGAAAATAGAACTTCTGAATTTTCATATCAGAAAGAGCCATAGAAAGGGCTTTAGGAAGAAAGTATTTTCTTCTACAAACTTAACTTTAATTTGTATTTTTGAGTGAGTATTAATTTGTAAAGACGAAATTAAATTTGGCCCCTCACCTGCATTCTAAGAAGTGGCAGGGATGGACTTTCTAATATTGTGGTGAAATATTTTGCTGAACCATAAAGTCTTACACATGCCTTGTAAGTAAAAGGTAAAGAAATTTTATAGCACATTTCTTAATTCTTTTCTTGCTCAAATCTCTCATGTGGTGACTTAATCCTTAATAAACTAAAGGAGCCTGCATTAAAATTATAAAAGCTATTTCATTTGCCTTTTGTACTAGGTAATTGTAAGAATCACAAACAACAAACAGTGGAAATCCTTGTTAGTTTGTGGTTTTTAAAGGAAACAATCATTGGGCCTTTGTATCTTGTCTTTTAATTGGTTCCCTAGTGTCTTTGGAATTATGTCTACACTATTTAATCAAGCATTTGCAATCTGAGCCCACCTACTCCTCTTATGTTATCTCCCTTCACTGTTGCCACAAATCCTATTCTACAGGCAAAGATCACTGCTTTATTTCATTATATTCAGAACTTTCTTCACTTTGTACACCTGGATGCTCAGATATATTCCATCAGTCATATAAAAATTCTAAGCACCTATTAATGTCCATCTCATCTGTCACTCCCTCTTAAAACTTTCCTTTATATCCTCTCCTTTCCAAATCTGAAAGTAAAGTTTTCTGCCAATGGGATTTCAGATTATTGTTTTACTGCTATTTGTTTTGATTCAAGTCAAACTCCAAGGTCGTAAGTCGAAAACTATACTTAATTTTTTATTGTCTTCATAGCACCTCGTAAGGTACTTTTTAAATTATTGTTTATTATGAATGAAAGCCTTATAAAACAAACTTGAATTCAATGCTTCTTTTGCTTGTACATAATCACAGTTTTCTGTCATTACTACTTTAATGAATAACATTATTTTATATGAAGAATGGAGTGTATATATACAAGTACATGTGCCAGTTTCTATTGTACTGCCTCTTACATTTTCTCTATACTTTTGGGAATGGCTTTAATGAATGTTTGAAATCCTTATCTGCTAGTTCCAAATCTGGATCTTCTTGGGGGTTCTTTGATTCACTTTTCTCCTAAGTAGGGCTCACAATTTCCTGTTTCTCCATTTGTCTAATAAATTTTGATTGTATTCCAAACTATGAATAATATATTGTAGAGACTCTGGATTTTCTTATGTTCCATTGAAGAGTATCAGTATTTTGTTTCATGACTGAACTAAAACTCCAAACTCTTAAATCTCAGTTCAATTATTTTAGCTTTCATTGAGCTGCTTGTAATCTACCCAGCCCATCCCTAATAGTCCACAGGATTAGCTAGAGAGTTTACACATGGAGTTTACACATAAGATATTGGGTGCCTTTTCTGTGGCTTTTTCTTTTTTAATATATTCTCCCTTCATTTTCCAGCTGCTGAGTTCACCCTAAAGTTGTCCTATGTTTTGTCATGCCACATATTCAGTCAGCGAATTAGAAATAAGAGCTATTAACTACAAATACTGAATATGTCAGGATATAAAATAACTCATATATGTACATATTATACATCATGTGTGATACACAACATATTAAATGCATATATATTCATATTTTATATACATGCACATTTACAAATGTGAATTTATATAAAAATGAATAGAAATATATATTTTTTTCTCAGACCTGCCTACCATCATGTGAAAGAGATTCTTCTTTATGTCCCTATGCCAATGTATACAACAACCTAGTTGTTGCATCTCTGACCAGATCCATATGTTCAAATTAATGGGAAAACTCCACAGTGGTCTTGAGTTCAAACCAACTTGCAGGTGTTTTTATCTCCATTTGCTACAGATTCTTGTGAGAATATTTGTCAGAGCCTTAAAAGAACAGAAATATTATCTGTTAGGATTCAGGCACAAAAATCCCATCCTAAATCTTCAAAACACAAATAATAGTAATGCATTTAGGTAGAATCTAAAATGTGCCAGATTCTGTTGCACTAGCACTTTATATATTTTAACTCACTCAACTCTCACCAAAACCTATGAAGGTTATAGTTGAAAAAACCAAGGCACAGGAAATTTAATGGCTTGCTCAAGGGCTAGAGACCACAACTGCATAAAAGTTGATATACCGTAGGGTCATTTTTAGAATCTATTTAAGGATATTTGTTTTATAGTTTATCATATGATTTGATGCCAGTGACATCTTATAACACAGTTCTAAGGAAGACAATTTCAGAATGATGTGCAAATGAGTGTCCGGATAGGCTCTTCCATCACAAGTACATTGTTTACATGTGCAGTGTATTGAATTCTTTTATAATCTTGAACTTTGTCATATGGTATGAAATACATGGACAATATTTTCACAACATACAATATGCTTGATATATGCAATGTGTCAGAATAGAAATTTATCTAAATAATGCCCAGGCATATAATGCTTATAATACAATGATAAGTCCTACGACACAGAATGCTCTATGTTATAGTGAGATTCTCAGACACAATCAATGAGTCATGGCTGAGGTCATATTTTGTCTACATGTTAATAATATGGAGAGTATTTTATTAGGAAATTTGCTCTTTGGTGACTTTCTTTTGAGAACAACAGTGTATTCAAATACAAAATTTGCTAGATTTATTCATCTAGCTATGAAAATAATGATTTGACCTGATTCCTAATGATACCAAATTACTATACTTTTTATGTCACATTTAAATCCATGTAGAACAATACTTGAAATATATAATGCTATATGAGTGTATGCATATAGTTCACATAAATAAAAGGAACAAGAAATGTGCTGTACAAAGTTATTAGCTTTGTTATGATGACTCAGTAGACCTTCCAACAGCCTTGCCACATTGGTTGTATCATTATCTCCAGTGAACTGATGAGGAAACAGGCTCTCCAAGATTTAGTAAAGCAGTGCTACAGGCAAGTGTCTGAGTAGGCCTAGAACCTTAGATCTGTCTGACTCCAAAAAAACATGAATTCTCCGTAACAATCTCTTTTGAAATGAAGTCCAAGTGAATGAAGTCTTACTTATATCCATAGAGATATAAATAAGAAAGCTGTTTACAAACCATGCAAAGTATTATTTTTAATGAGAAAAGACTGATGAAAAGAAGAGAATTTTAATTTTTTTCCTCCTGAAAATGTAGCTTTCTTCATTTAACTTTTGAGAATACAGAGTTTGAAATTAATTTAATGAATGTTAACTTCAGAGTTTTTAATCTGAACTGTGTCAAGTTAAAATCTATAAAAATGTATGTTTAAAAAGTCTTCATTCAATTTCATTTGTGGTAAACTTTAAAATTATTATCATAGCATAAAAGAATGAAGGACTTCATTATTAGACTTAGCAGCAGATACTGAAAGAGCTGACGTCTCAGTTTACATTGTACACACTCCTTGTGATTTTTTAAATGGGTAAAAACTAAGTAATAAATATTTTTGTGTTAGAAAATTGGCACATCCTGTAAGATTTACATGTATACACAGAGATTATTACTTCCATTCAGTATTTATTGAGTCCATAGCTGAGATAAATACTTGTGTTGGGTGAATCATGGGGCAGAGCAGCATGTGGTCTGTGTCTATGAAGGGCTTTCATGGGAGAACTTATTACAGTCAAAAACAAAGTCAAGTAGGCAAATTAAGTCATATCTTATCTAGGGATAAGGCCTTTCAGGGGTGGACAACCTGCACGCAGCCTTCTGATTTCAAGTTTGTTCTTTTTTAAGCACCAAACAAGGCAAGAAAAGATTCATCTTTTCTGCTGCATCCCTTTTAATAAAAGGATTTATTCTTTAACATTTGAATTCAGTTAAACGCCACACTTAAGGACCTAGAAGGCCCCACTTCTGAAAGGAGATGGGCAATTCTGAGTGCACCACAATGTGAGTCACTTGAATTTTTCTTTTGGTCCAAGCCCCCAAGATTCATATATAAGTTC